ACACACACACACACACACACACACACACACACACACACACACACACACACACACACACACACAGCAACAAAACCCTACTCTGTGTGTCCATGTGACAAGAGTAACATTGCAAGCTGTTTTCTGTTGGGTTCGCAGGACTTCAGAACATCATCCTAGCATGGCCTTTTGACCAGTGCTGGTCTCCAGGTGGTCTGGCTGGAGGGGGGTTGCCCGGGTACCCATCCAGGTCACTCCCAGTGGATAATATTAAAAACAACAAAATCAGCACAAACAGCTGCTGTGTAAAATTGCAATACAAATAGGCCAAGTGCTTCCTCTGAAAGGATTCACGCTGCAGACACACAGTCCCGGTCAGTCTCGGTCCCAGGGTCTCATGTGAATGTTCATTGCTGTATGCAAGGTTGAAATTGAAGACTACTTGGCTCATTTCACCTCCAAATTCCTTACGAATTTAGACTTTTAAAGATGGAAACAAAAAAGAAAAGAAGAGTTAAGATATACTCCTTGAAAGTTAAAACCCCTTAAATCCCTGTTTGTACTCCACCCCCAAAACCCCCACAGGTGATCCGTCACCGGATTTCAGGTGCTGCTTTGAGTGTCTGAGTCCAATTCTGAGTCATGGAGAGAGAGACCTCTTTCCAAATGAGAGAAGTTCTGAGTCGGGTTCCGAGTCATGGAGAGAGGGACCTCTTTGCAATTGCGAGAAGTTACAGTGACAGGGCTGAACTTGTAGACCACCCAACAAAGCTGAAAAAAAAAAGAAAAAAAAAAAGGTCAGTCCCCCTGCTAGGAGCTAACAAAGTTAAATTATTGGACAAACAACTCAAATTTCAGACGGTACAGGGATTTTCCAGCAAGTCTGGGAGCGGGCCCCCAAACCAGTGGGCCTATCGACAAATATTGCATGTGTCCAGTACCTGGGTGAATTACAGACTGAGCTGAAGAGTCATAATGCCCCACCATCGCGAGGCCAGAGAGCAGGCTGGTAACCCAGGTAGCTCGGTCTGGAGGCCAGATAGCTAGGTGGACTGGACCACAGTTTCTTGTGCATTGACCTTGGCGCTTAAATATTGCACTAAGTTCAAAAGAAGCACGCTGAAGAAATTTGGTCCCCAGTTTCAATGTGCTGAGACGGGCGTGGTCCTATATAGAATTCCAACCTGACGGTTGCCTGGGAGTGCCTTTTCCACTCACTGATTTTTCCCAATCTTCTACAGTTTGGTCAGTGATTCCAAGCGGACTGAGTGAGGCAATATGGCTGGTAAACTTCCTGCCCTGCCCTTCTGAGCCGTTGGAGAAAGTGGCAGGGTGTTTGAGTGCTGGACGCGGTACGGAGGAAGAGCTCAGGGGAGCTTCCTGGCTATGGTGGAAGGCTCCCTGCCTATGGTGGGGACTGAGTAGGAATGGCACCCGCCTTCTAGCCTCCGTGACTGACGTCTTCATGCTTGGAGTGTGTCCTTAGTCAGTGTCAGCGCACTCGTACGACATTACTTGAGCAGCGAACATCAGGGAGCATCATCAGACTGTCCAAGGAGATAATTTGATGGGATCATCTCACTCAATTGGACTTCAAGCTCCATATCTACTTTGCATCTCGGAGCTGAGCTGCACATACGCAACTTTCCAGAGCGGGCTGTATCAGGGTAGGAGAAAAGGTATGCTGTTAACGTATGCTAGGGTGTTTCTCAGAAGTTGACACTTTGTTCAAGATGTGTATTGAACTGGAGTAATAATCCAGGAGGAGATCTGATGGGTGGAGACGGGAGGAGGGCGGGATGTCATCTCTTTTCAAGTGTTCTGTGTATTTCTTCAACCTCTGATTCTCATTCGCTCTTCATCTATTGACTTCTTCTTCTCATTTCTCAAGTTTGTTTGCAATGGCGTGCTTCGGTCTTGTCTTGTCTTTTGGAATGTATGTATGATGAACCATCAAAACACTCACCATGTTTGCAGCCTCTCTCATTAGCTCAGCCCTTCTTCCTTTCTCCACCAATCGTGGATCGCGGAGCGCAATTTGCTTCGCTGCTGCATTCATTAATTTCATATGGCCAGTCAAAACTCCATTCTTCCCTTTCGTGTAAATGACAGCCCTTCTTTCCAGGTCGTCACGAAGCGCCTGCTCCATATTCGTATCTGCTTCTCTATCAATTTGCGATAACAACTCTGGTTCTACCATTGGATTGTGGTGATCGTTTAAATCTCCGTGCTTTACTCCTCCATCTTCCCGAGTCTCCGACAGAAGTAGCACTGCCATGTCAAACCACAGCAAAAAAGGAGCACAACGGTGCAGTTAGCTCAGGGCATTTATGACTGTAGGACTACAGGCGGGGGCTAGCCATGACTAGGTTGTGGCACACGAACGGGAATAAGAATAGAAAGAGGTGGGGAAGGGACAAGGGAATGAACAAAAGGCTATATCAATGTCAGCAAACCTCAATTGGAACAATTTTATCACCGCGCGGGATTTGAACCCATGAGCAGTTTATCAGCAGCTACATGTGCATACCATTCAAGATTTGATCATTACATTTTTTATATAACCAGCGGATGAGGGAGCAACAAAAAACACACCGCGAACATCAGGCACAGTTGTGTTCCTTCGCATGCCACGCAGCACCAAGCGGGGTAAGCGGTATTCAGTAGCCTGCCTGACATGGTGTTGTACCTTTCCATGTTCCAGCAGGCCATACTGTGCGGAGCGGGTGGCACTGTGTGGTGAGGGTGATATGGTACGCCGGTGATGGAACATGGACCAGATGGCACAAGGGTCCAAAAAAATAATAATAAAAATGACAGCCCCCTCTCCAAAAAAGCCCGAGCCCATACTGCCCAATGGTGCATCCATGAACCGTTAAGGGAGGGTCCATGACAGCCATGCATCTTCCCTACGCCGCTTCCCTTCCAGACCACCTACCATCATAAGAAGCCCATCTTTCTCATGTGTGCCAACAAGTTGAGGCCCGCCGCGACCCTGCCGCAGCAGGAGGAAGATGAGATCCACACACATGTTTGTGTTTGGCTGCCTTTGCATTTTCTCGCTTTGGCAACATCAAAGGCTGGGTGGTATCATGAGGGGCAGGACTGGTTGGCACTATGTGGGCATGACGGTATTATATGGTGCGGGTCATAGAAAGCGGGTTCGGTGGCACTATGTGAGGTGGGTCATAGTATATGGACTGGGTGGTACCATGTGGCCTGGGTGACAACATACGGGTTTGAGCGGCACAATGCAGGGTGGGTCACAGCCGTAGTTGCGGCGCACGTCGGTGCGCCGGTTTGCGCACGGTTTGCGCACGGTTTGCGCACATCGCGCCGCGCACCGCACAGCGCACCGAAGCGCAGCACACTTGAAAAATTAGGT